TATGCCAGAAACATCTTTGCCAAACTTTGCTAATAACTGTGTCCCAAGTGTAATAGCAAACGAACGGAAACTTGGTTTACGTCCACTCTTCACCAGATACATATTGTAGCAGTTCAGCATGCTTATGTCAACAAGATGGAAAAACACTTTTTTCGTCCACTTCAATGTTTTCTGCACACACACGACAGTGCCCACCATCATGTCAGATTTATCAACTAAACGCATGTTGATATTATAGTCAAGAACACAATCTGGCTTATATACTGGTTCTTGCGTTACTCGGTTCACCTTGCTACTGTTCACTATTGTAGCATTATGAATGGTTGTCAGCATGTTCACTTCTCTCTTGTCTTTCCATCTAACTGAGAGTATTTGATTACTTTTTCTTAGCTGGCAGTCACCAACTTCAAGTTTATTGTCAAACACTGGCATTTTCCTTCTTCCTGGCTTTACTGTGCCAACCAATCCAGTGCTATTTTCAATCAAAAACCTAGCTAGCAAGGGACTTGTATAGTAGTTATCCATGTACAAAATGTGGCCCTTGTTCATCCATGGTGCCATCAGTGACTTCACCTCACTACATGAGAAACCATGTTGGTCGTTACCGAGAATGTCTACATCGCTAGCAGAATACAGATTTGCTATTATGTTATGAGGAAAGAGAGGAAAGGAAGAGGTGGGGGTGGTGTAGCTCTGCTGGTAAGAAAAGGCTGGGATTTTGAGGAGATGGATATTCAGGGCTGTGAAGGTTTCAGAAACTACATAGCAGGTACCGTAACAAATGGAGGGAAAAAAATTATAGTCGTAGTCATATATAATCCACCACCAAATTACAGAAGACCCAGACAGGAATATGATAGAAACAACATGACCACCATTAACATAATAGAAAGAGCAGCTTCTGTTGCTAGCAGGAATGGATCTGGACTACTAATTATGGGAGATTTCAACCATGGGAAGATAGATTGGAAGAACAGAGACCCGCATGGAGGACCAGAAACATGGAGAGCTAAGCTGCTGGACGTGGCAACAAGAAACTTTCTAAGCCAGCACATCAAAGAACCAACAAGAATGAGAGGAGAAGATGAACCAGCAATGCTTGATTTGATATTTACCCTAATTGAGTGGGATATAAGGGAAGTTAAGATGGAAGCACCCTTGGGAATGAGTGACCACAGTGTATTGAACTTTGAGTATCTGGTAGAGCTAGGACTTATCTCCCCCAAAATAGAACTAGGAATCAAAAGGCTGGCATACCGAAATGGGAATTATGAACAGATGAGAAGTTTCCTAAGTGAAATACCTTGGGACACAGACCTCAGAGATAAGTCTGTACAGGGTATGATGGATTATGTTACCCAAAAGTGTCAGGAGGCAGTAAACAAGTTCATCCCGGCCCAAAGGGAAAAATCCGAGAAGCAACAGAAGAATCCATGGTATAATAGGGCATGTATGGAAGCGAAGAAACTGAACAAAAGGGCCTGGAGGAACTTCCGGAATAACAGAACACCAGAGAGCAGAGAGATATACCAGAGAACCAGGAATGAGTACGTCAGGGTGAGAAGAAAAGCAGAGAAAAGTTTTGAAAATGATATAGCAAACAAAGCCAAGACCGAACCAAAGCTACTCCACAGTCACATCAGAAGGAAAACAACAGTAAAAGAACAGGTATTGAAACTTCGAACAGGCGAGGACAGGTATACAGAGAATGACAGAGAGGTGTGTGAAGAACTCAACAAGAGGTTCCAGGAGGTCTTCACAATAGAACAAGGTGAGGTCACTGTGCTAGGAGAAAGGGAGGTAAACCAGGCGGCCTTGGAAGAGTTCGGAATTACGAGAGAGGAGGTCAAGAGACACCTGCTGGATCTGGATGTTAGAAAGGCTGTTGGTCCAGATGGGATCTCACCATGGATACTGAAAGAGTGTGCAGAGGCACTTTGCTTGCCACTCTCCATAGTGTATAGTAAGCCACTGGAGACGGGAGGCCTACCAGAAATATGGAAGACGGCGAATGTGGTCCCAATATACAAAAAGGGCGACAGGCAAGAGGCACTGAACTACAGGCCAGTGTCCTTGACTTGTATACCATGCAAGGTGATGGAGAAGATCGTGAGAGAAAACCTGGTAACACATCTGGAGAGAAGGGACTTCGTGACAAATCGCCAACATGGGTTCAGGGAGGGTAAATCTTGCCTTACAGGCTTGATAGAATTCTACGATCAGGTGACAAAGATTAAGCAAGAAAGAGAGGGCTGGGCGGACTGCATTTTCTTGGATTGTCGGAAAGCCTTTGACACAGTACCGCATAAGAGGCTGGTACATAAGCTGGAGAGACAGGCAGGTGTAGCTGGTAAGGTGCTCCAGTGGATAAGGGAGTATCTAAGCAATAGGAAGCAGAGAGTTACGGTGAGGGGTGAGACCACCGATTGGCGTGAAGTCACCAGTGGAGTCCCACAGGGCTCTGTACTCGGTCCTATCCTGTTTCTGATATATGTAAATGATCTCCCGGAGGGTATCGATTCATTTCTCTCAATGTTTGCAGACGATGCTAAAATTATGAGAAGGATTAAAACAGAAGAGGACTGTTTGAGGCTTCAAGAAGACCTAGACAAGCTGAACGAATGGTCGAACAAATGGTTGTTAGAGTTTAACCCAACCAAATGTAATGTAATGAAGATAGGTGTAGGAAGCAGGAGGCCAGATACAAGGTATCATCTGGGAGAGGAAATTCTTCAGGAGTCAGAGAAGGAAAAAGACTTGGGGGTTGATATCATGCCAGACCTGTCTCCTGCAGCACATATCAAGCGGATAACATCAGCGGCATATGCCAGGCTGGCCAACATACGAACGGCATTCAGAAACTTGTGTAAAGAATCATTCAGAACTTTGTATACCACATATGTCAGGCCAATCCTGGAGTATGCAGCCCCAGCATGGAGTCCATATCTAGTCAAGGATAAGACTAAACTGGAAAAGGTTCAAAGGTTTGCCACTAGACTAGTACCCGAGCTGAGTGGTATGAGCTACGAGGAGAGACTACGGGAATTAAACCTCACTTCGCTGGAAGACAGAAGAGTTAGGGGGGACATGATCACCACATTCCAGATTCTGAAGGGAATTGATAGGGTAGATAAAGACAGTCTATTTAACACAAGGGGAACACGCACAAGGGGACACAGGTGGAAACTGAGTGCCCAAATGAGCCACAGAGATATTAGAAAGAACTTTTTTAGTGTCAGAGTGGTTGAAAAATGGAATGCATTAGGAAGTGATGTGGTGGAGGCTGACTCCATACACAATTTCAAGTGTATATATGATAGAGCCCAATAGGCTCAGGAATCTGTACATCTGTTGATTGACGGTTGAGAGGCGGGAGCAAAGAGCCAGAGCTCAACCCCCGCAAACACAACTAGGTGAGTACAGAATCATGTTGATCAACAACATACACGTATCCCGTTTCACAGTCACAAAGAACAAAGAATTTCAATCCAAATCTGTTTCGTTTGGAAGGAATAAACTGCTTGAAGGCAATACGTCCTTTGAAAAGCACAAGGGATTCGTCAATCACCGACTTCAGTTCTGGTATGTAGAAATCTTTTAACTTTCCAATCACTTCATTCATGTAGTGCCTGAATTGCCAAAGTCTATCATCCTCTGTCTGGTCCTCATTACTTGCAAAATGAAGACATCTGAGGAGTATCTAAAACCTGTCTCTGGACATACATTTTCCGAAGAAAGATGTTGGATTAATCTGGTCTTTGCTCCAATAATCTGTGATACCATGTTTGACACAATGCTTGATCAATATACATATTGCTAAAAATACATACATTTCACCTACAGTAGTGTTTTTCCAATGCTGCAATCATGAATATTCTGTTATTTCTTTTTCAATGAGATGAGCTGAATGATGGTTAGTTTGTTTGGTGTACAATATATTCCATGAGCGGCTCATCATAGAATGCTGTAAAATAATCCAATTCACACATGTCCTCACCATTATCAGGGAAAAGTTCTGTAATCCCAATGTCTTTATTGTCAAAGGCAGGAATTAGAGGAATAAAATCGTCACCATCACTCCGCACAAGTACACCTGGTGCCCTGTGAGACGCAACAGGGGCACGGCGGCGAGGAAGCGTTGCACACCGTGGACCAGGAGCTGAAGCCCGTCTACGTAAAGTACGGCCGCTACGTGAACATGAGGTGAAAGCATGTGAACATGAGGGTCTTGGTTCCTCATGTGGTGCCATGCGATGGCGCTTGGCTGGGCAAGACGCTACTGACGCGACAAATTCTCGTCCGGTAACACCACAGGTACTAGCAACAGGCTCGGTAACACTATGCTCTGAATCCCCTTCACTAAAACCAGAAAATGTGTCCCCTTTCTCTGACTCGTCGCCCAAAATATCCTCATACTCTAAATAAGTACAGGAACTGTGTGGTCGTGGGTGAATTGGAGTAAACACTGGGCGAGGAGGCACGGGTGAGCGTGTAGGCCTCATCATGGGAGGCTGTATCTCATTTTCCCTGTATGTGCTACTATCATCGGTCAATTGTGTGTAGTCCTTATCATTGTCGGAGTCATCAAAATCACTTTCCTCACTATCAGAAAATAATTCACTAGTTATTTGCTCTTGGGTAAGTGATTGCGTGGTGCGTGCCCTGGAGGCGTTCGGCTGTGCAATCGCCATGGTGACCGCTGGGTAACTGGGGCCTCCTACGCATTGGTAGCGTGTGCTGGATTTTTTTACAAAATGGCAGCTGTTTACTATAGCCCCTGGGCAGCGAATGAGAGGGCCCCCCTCTACCCCGCTGGCTTGCTGGCCATTCAAATCTTGTGCAGTAGTCCATCACGTCACATGACATGATGAGCAATTTATAGCGAGTTACTCAACACGTCATATGACATGTTACGCAGTTTAAGGGTTAAAAAATAAATGATAAAAGTGAATGGATACACAGGTAAAATATAACTGACAACAAATCGTTATTTTACATACCCATTTATTTGATGTGAGGTGTGCCAGTTTTTGGTTGACATCTTCAACCATTTGATGATCAGGTATTTCCTCTTCATCCATATCAGAAGAATCAAAGATTTTTTGCCAGGTCACTCCTGCAGACACCTTCGTCAAGATTACCTCAAGTTTACCATCAACTAATGGAAAAAAATGAAAAACAAAATATCCCTTAGCATAACTGTAATGCCATATTAGTTTAAAAATAAAATCCAGTGGATTTTGATGTACAGTAATGCAACACCTCTTTCTGGTGTGCAATCCAGTAAGTACCCAAAGCTACAAGCTGAAGTAACCAAGCCATAGGTGGACAATAGGCCACTGAGACCTACGAACGTCTACCAGATACAGTATGCATTTTCCCTCTAACACACCCTGCTCTAATGAATTGTTTTTCAATCTTAACAAATTGTATTAAGCACAAATGGTTCAGTATAACATACAAATGTTCGATTAAGTGAGAATTGTTTGTTCATGTTGTTACCAAGATCGAGTTTCAGGAGGCAGCTGTGTTATCATCATCCATGAACCACCTAATCAAAGTGTAAACTGTTGTACAGTGCTTACAAATTTGTAATCATACTTAAATAAAGCACAATACAGTATTTTATAAATTATATTATAAACACCACTATTTAAAAAAACTCCTTTGAATGTAATGAAGTACCATTTTCTGGGTGAGCGCCGGAGGCTCCCTGGAGCTATTGGACTGATATACGATATACAGTATTAGTCTAGGGCATTAGTCAATGGAGTTCAGCCTACTGGGAAACATGAGCCAGAACCTGGCCCCCCTCTGAGGGGTAAGGGGAGCAATGACCTCTGGAAAACCCTCCTGTGGTTGGGGGGTATTCCTTGTCTGCCACTGACTGGAGTTAGGCACCCAGAAAGATAGGCATAACAAAACAAACCCCACTTGGTACGTAAATTACAACCAAAGAATGAACAAGGAGGCAGAACTCCCCCCCACTCTCGAGGAAACAAGCAAAGAAGCAAACGTCAAACACCACCACCCACCATTATGTAACTTGTCCGCACAGTCCTCCCATCCCCAGGAGTAGGAGGGGGAACCCCAGACCCCTCATGCCGGCTACTCACACCTCCAGTTCGGAGGCTGAGCATCAAAAGCAAAACAAAACCGCCGACCGGAGGGAGGGCGGATGCCAAGGAACCTCTGGGACTCGCCCAGAAAATGACGTTTCATTACATCCAATGCTGGTTTTCTGTGGACAGCCTCTTTGGCTCACCAGAGCTACCTGACCAAAGAGAAAGGAAAAGAGGGACTTACTTGGGAGATGGCTGCCAATCACTCCTCAATTCAAAATCGAGACAACTGGCGGCAACCTGCCACCCGAGAACCTCGGGCAACCTTTGTCCGAGAAGGGCCAGGAACATGAACGAGGTACTGTGCAGCCAGGACCCTGTTCGACTTCCAAAAGCCCAGTGCCCGAATGTCAGCCCAGGACATATTACCAAACACAGCAGCCAAAGCCACAAACTTACGAATATCATGGCCACAGGGATAGACCGCAGGCTATCTGAACTGAACACTACTGCGGACTACCTGGGAGACCCATGCCCTGGAACAGGGAAGAAGGAAACCCGGGTCCACCCAAAGCGCGTCCCCCTGCCATGGAGGACATGGCGTGCAAGTAATGGTGAAGAATCGCAACCAGACACAAAACATGATGCACAAACCAACCAAGCTTCAACAACCCAAGGACCCCTACGGAAAGCAGCAGTCTTATTCTTTGCCAGAAAAGGTGACGGCTGCAAACAATCCGACCACCAAGACCGAAAGAGCAGAAACCCCTGCTCTGGAGGAGTGTATGAAGCTCCATGATCCGACAACCCAGAGTCCAATACCAATAAGAAAAGAGCTTTAGAAAAACAAGCGTTGAATCTAATTAAACGCCATTTTCTGGGTGAGACCAGGAGACTCCCCGGAGCTATCTGGGGCTGATATGAATGCATTAGACCCTGGCATCAGTCAAGTGCATGGAGTTCTATGCCTACCGGGGACCATGAGCCAGAACCTGGTCCACTCAGAGAGGCACGAGGAGCAATGGCCTATAGAGAGCCCCGTGTGGTTGGAAGCATTCTATGTCTGCCATCGACCGGGCCAGGAACCTAGCAAGGTAGGCGCTCCAAAACAAACTCCTATTCTATTGAAAATATTGCTACTGAAAGCCGAACTAGTGGACAGAACTCTCCAAATGAAAACGAGCAAACGAGCATGACGTCACCATGCTACAGCACCGCCATCTCTGCAACCACTCCCCTCCCTGGGAGGGAAAAGGGTCCCTCACCCTCACACCATCCCCCAGACCCTCACGTCGGCTATCTACCCTGCAGTTCTGGGACTGGATGTAATAAATCACAAAAAGGAAAACCGCTGACTGGAGGGAGGGAGGGTTGCCAGGGAGCCTCCAGGTCTCACCCAGAAAATGGCATTTCATTACATTCAATGCTGGTTGAATGAGGGTTCAATGAGGGAAGCCCCGTTGGCTTCCCGGAGCTACTTACCCAATGACAAAAACAAGAGGGATTTACCCGGGAGGCGGTTGGCCCTCCTGGTTGATACCTGGTTGATGGCCGACCGACCCTCACTCCTCAATGTGAAGTCGAGACAACTGGCTGCAACCGCCTACCCAATGCGACACAGGCCTGACTAGGCCCCAGGAACATTGACAAGTTAGCGAGCGGCCAGGACCCTGTTCAACCTCAAGTAACAGCCAGTAACAAATACATGTTTACCTGCTTGATGGGGTTCTGGGAGTTCTTCTACTCCCCAAGACTGGCCCGAGGCCAGGCTCGACTTGTGAGAGTTTGGTCCATCAGGCTATTGCTTGGAGCGGCCTGCAGGCCCACATACCCACCACAGCCTGGCTGATCCGGAACTTCTCTTAGAAAACCGCCCAGTTTTCTCTTGAAGATGTCCACGGTTGTTCCGGCAATATTTCTTAAAGTTGCTGGGAGGACGTTGAACAACCCCGGACCTCTGATGTTTATACAGTGTTCTCTGATTGTGCCCATGGCACCTCTGCTCTTCACTGGTTCAATCCTGCATTTTCTTCCATATTGTTCACTCCAGTACGTTGTTATTTTTCTGTGTGGATTTGGGACCTGGCCCTCCAGTATTTTCCATGTGTATATTATTTGGTATCTCTCTCGTCTCCTTTCTAGAGATTACATTTGGAGAGCTTTGAGATGATCCCAATAATTTAGGTGTTTTATCTCGTCTATGCGTGCCGTATATGTTCTCTGTATTCCCTCTATTTCAGCAATCTCTCCTGCTCTGAAGGGGGAAGTGAGTACTGAGCAGTACTCGAGACTGGACAACACAAGTGACTTGAAGAGTACAACCATTGTGATGAGATCCCTGGATTTGAAAGCTCTCGTAATCTTTGAAAGCTCTCCATCCTATCATTTTTCTGACTGGCGCAATATTTGCTTGGTTATGCTCCCTAAACGTTAGATTATCGGACATCATTATTCTCAAATCCTTGACATACTGTTTTCCAATTGTGGGCAGATTCGATTGTGTTTTGTACCCTGTATTATGTTTCAGATCCTCATTTTTGCTGTACCTGAGTACTTTAAATTTATCACTGTTAAACATCATGTTATTTTCTGCTGCTCAATCGGAAACTTTGTTGATATCTGCTTGTAATTTTTCAAAGTCTTCAGCAGAGGTAATTTTCATGCTGAATTTTGTGTAATCTGCAAAGGATGACATGAAGCTGTGACGTGTATTTTTGTGTATATCTGATATGAGAATAAGGAACAGTAGCGGTGCAAGGACTGTACCTTGAGGTACAGAGCTTTTAACTGCGCTTGGACTCGATTTTATTTGATTAACTGTTACTCTTTGTGTTCTGTTCGACAGGAAATTGAGTATCCAGCATCCTACTTTACCAGTTATTCCCAATGACCTCTTTTTGTGACCTATCACCCCATGGTCACATTTGTCAAACACCTTTGCAAGGTCTGTGTATACAACATCTGCATTTTGCTTTTCTTCTAGAGCTTCTGTGATTTTGTCATAGTAATTACCTAAGTGTAATTACCTAAGTGTAGTCACAGGATGAGAGCTACGCTCGTGGTGTCCCGTCTTCCCAGCACTCTTTGTCATATAATGCTTTGAAACTACTGACGGTCTTGGCTTTCACCACCTTCTCACCTAACTTGTTCCAACCGTCTATCACTCTGTTTGCGAAAGTGAATTTTCTTATATTTCTTCTGCATTTGTGTTTAGCTAGTTTAAATCTATGACCTCTTGTTCTTAAAGTTCCAGGTCTCAGGAAATCTTCCCTATCGATTTTATCAATTCCTGTTACTATTTTGTATGTAGTAATCATATCACCTCTTTTTCTTCTGTCTTTTTCTTCTTTCATAGGTTGTGTGGGGTTTATGTTCTCCTATTCCACATTCCATAACATGGCATTTATTAACATTAAATTCCATTTGCCAATGGAATTTTCCATTTTGCCAATGGAAGACCTGTATAATTAGACCTGTATCAGGTCTATATACAGGTCTATAATTAGACCTGCATCATTGACAAGTGTAATAATCTAAATATTGGAAAAAGTAATTAAAACTAAATGGGTAGAACACCTGGAGAGAAATGATATAATATCAGACAGACAGTATGGTTTTCGATCTGGAAGATCCTGTGTATCGAATTTACTCAGTTTCTATGATTGAGCAACAGAGATATTACAGGAATTAGTGGTTGAGTAACTGTGACAGACAGGATCTGCCCGCTCTAAATCCATGTTGTCATGGGTTGTGTAGCTCATTATTTTCCATAAAACTAGAAATTTGATTCCTAATCACTCTTTCAGACACTTTTATTATGTGTGATGTTAGTGCAACTGGTCTATAATTTTTTGCCAAGGCTTTACTACCCCCCTTGTGCAGAGGAGCTATATCTGCAGATTTAAGTGATGTTACCAAACATCAGATTTTAATGTTATCAAAGATGGCAGCCAGTGCAGCAAACTTACAAACATTGTGGGCACAGGGATAGACCGCAGGTTGGCTAAACCGAATAACCTTACGGACGACCTAAGAGACCCGAACCCTGGAACAGGAAAGAAGGGAAACCGGGTCAACCCAAAGCGCATCCCCAGCC